ATCCAAACAAACATGTAGGCCTATCAACATTCAAAAACACCTTGCCGATTTGAAGGCGCTCAAATAGACAAGTGGGATTCACTTCTGTTTTGTCGCGACATAACCTCATTCCTTCACGTTTGTTATCGCGCCGGCTCGTAACTTTAAATCGTCTCCCGTCAAACCGTCACGTCGCGGAACTTCGTACTACGTACGAGGCCAACAATGCCCCTTCTGCAATGGAATGGAGTGGACCTTTTTGCGGACGTCGCCGATCGCAGGAAGTCTCTTTTTTAAAAAAAGGAATGCGGCCACCCCTTCTCTGGGTCCCCTTTGTTGTTTTCTTTAAATGTTAAGACTACACAACACATGAACCTATACTATAGGGAATAAAAATACGATAAGAAAGCTTTGTAATGACCATGGACAACGGACAAGTGACCAGCAAAATTTTCACTTTGGGATATAGGCATTTTGATCGACCAAATTCTTCAAACTCTGCCGCTCTCAAACTGTGCGTGCTGCCTATAGTATCAAGATCATCTTTGTTGTGAACATGATGTGATTCATGCCAGTGCATCATGGGAGCTTGGTTTCCGTTTGGAAAATGATTCGATGAAACAAAACAAGACCTGAGTTGCTTTCACAGGACTGTCCCCGTAGGATTATGCGATTGTGCGGCCGCGTTTTTTCGCGTAATTCTGCAACATTTGCATAATTTTGGATTCCGGTTCCCCGCGTTTTTTCCCACAAACAACGCCTCGCCATGTCACTAAAGGGAAATAATCACCGTAATAAGTCTCATTTAAGGGAAAAGTCAGTTATTTCCCTTGTTCAGTTAGTGTTAGTCATTGCGTTAGTGTTAGAAGATCTTTGTTAAAAATATGAGTTGGGATTTTGACAATTTGTTCCTTGAGCATGTTCAATTTTTCAATCCATCAAAAGTTGTTATTCTCATGTCTGCTGATGTTTCATGTTTGACAGGTGTCCCTGGTTTTAGTAATGTGCCAGCATCAGAGGTCCAGATGCCCTTTTATATATATATATATATATATATACCTATAAAAAAAAATAATATGTAGATTTCTAGATCTACAGCTGAAAGTGGAAAGTTACAGAGATTATATATATGATATAGATCTATATATATATATATATTTGGGGGGGGGGGGGGGGGGTTCTTACTACAGTGGAATCCTGTTATAACGAGAGGGTGGGGACCGGAGCAAAATATCCGTTACAGCAGGATTCTCGCTATAAGGGATTCAGTAATAAATTCAAGGAAAACTGTAAAGTAGGCCTAATCTATGAGTTTGGTATTCTGTTTATTTCCTTTTGCTATCTCCCCCGATGCTGATTTTGTTTCAACATAATCTCTAGGTCTTACTTGATCAAAATTCGAATCAGATTTATTTTTTCTAGCGCTAGATCTAGCGATGTGGACTGGCAGCTTGGCTTTGGCGATCAGAAAGAAAGGGCTCTGGGCAAACTCGCTCGCTGTGTTTTCCCCCACCCCATCCCACCCTGTGGTGCATTCCGTCTGCTCGCGCATTTCACACATTTGCTCCATCCATCACATTGCTGTGACCTCTCCATCCCCGTATCGGAGAAGTGAGAGGCATGGTAGGCCTCGATAATCTATACTAGGCTTACGATGGCTTATCATGCGATGCGTTCTGCTTGTCTGCGCACGCCACACCCTCCCTACTCAGTCGCTCCGGCCTTCATTGTTGACATACATGGGCTCTCCTATTCTTTGTTTCGCTAGATCACCAACACGTTTCTCAACTGACGAGGTTTTGCATATATGTATAATAGGCCTATGCACTGTGCACAGCAACAGCAATTTCCGCTATACTATAACCGACTCGCATGTTTGTCTGATAGCGCAATAGCAGTATTTTATTTACAAAGGTAAAGAGGACAAAAAAACGGGGTTTTAGAACAGTGTCTTTATAACAGACTTCTCGTTTTTTCCGGACTTGTTATAACTATAAGTGGACTCCACTGTACAGATGTGTATTGTTTTCTTTCCAAATACACAACAAATTACTGATACTGAATGTTCTGTTAAGGGGATCCACTGGTCAGATCAGTAAAAATTTTGAAAAAATATCAATTTTCGGATTTTGGAGTATCTTAATAGATATCAATATCAAGGATCCATCTTTAGAAGCCTAATTCCTTTATTAAACTTATAAATAGCTGGAAAATGCATTTAAGAGAGGCAGCAATGTAGGAAAATCTTCACCAAAAATTATCTCTCTTTGTAGTTTTCTCAGAATTGTTTATCTGACCAGGTAGCAACACTATTTTGAGTAGATCTCAGAAAGTTACTGTCAGAATTGTTTCAAATTTGGACACAATCTTTTGTACACATTTCTCTATAACTTTACAGGAGCATTTTTGCTGTTTATGGAACACATTTGGAGTTTTAGGCCTGTTTTATTTGACAAAATCTGAAAACATTGGAGACCTGAATGGGGTGCATAGCAAGGACTGTAAGGCTCACAAGTCAGTACAGAAAATTCAAATTTGGCTCTGTAAGGTTGTTCTACCTACCAACAGTAATCGCCATGCCAAATATTAGGCTTCTATCTTGATGAGTGTTGATGATTGACAAAATATAAAATTGGTTTTAAAAATGCTGAAACAATCCTTTATTTTTTCCACTGTGGCCCAAATAAGCTAAACCCCCCTCCCTTACCTTATTTAGGCCATATGTGGCCTAAATAAGCACTCCCTTTTTTTAATAAAGTTGAGTCAACTACATGTATACAGATCTATTTACCCAACATTGTTATTTTCCTTATATAAGCAAGCTATGCTATTAATTATGTTCAAAATCGTAGATCTATACTATCATGTAGGCTAGGCCTACCCTGTCCTCAGAGGCGAAGCGTCTATATAATCAAATAATCACTGCTTTCCTTCCTAATTTTGAAACATTGTCGCAGTCAAATTCACCCATAGACTTAAAAGTAAGCTTAAAGTGAGGCCGGAAGAGTCTACCAATAGAGTTGAAGGGACAATGGGCATAGCAGTCAAAGCTGTTTCATTGAGAGAGAGAGAGAGAGAGAGAGAGAGAGAGAGAGATCTTTGACAGGAAAGAAGAAGCAAACCACACCAGAGCACCCGCCAACCACCCACTGAAAAAAAGGGGGGGGGGGGTGTGATTAAAGAAGATGACAAAAAGCCGTAAAGGTGACCTGTGATGTGTAGTAATACAATCAAGAAAAGAGACACAATCTAAGCGAATTCCTTTTATTTTCTTCTCGTTCAAGACAAACATGATATGTATTTCTGTTCATGGAAGAAGAAATGGAAAGATTTCGTCATCTAC